GACCTGCAGGGCTGCTGCTGAGCCCCAGGCAGTGTTAACACGAGAGACACAGGACACGCATCACGTTGACTTGAAGGCTGTTACAGATCGCTGGTAGTTCGATAAAATGTAGCTCATACTGTTCCATGTTTTTTTTCTAAGAGATGAGCCGTATCTGTATGTATCTCGTCTGTCTGTCCTATCTCTTGTATCTATCTGTCTGTCTGTAAGTCGACACATCCTTCACTGTCTTATTAGTCCTCAGAAATCAAAAGAGAGTGAAATCAGGCCAAAATGTTTTACACTCGTACAAAGTTAGAGAAACTTTTTGTTAACTGTTTTCTCCACTTTATTCCATTTATGTCAAAGTCTGGCAATGAAACAACATTTTACTTTGACACCACACTGGTTCACACTCAGCACTGATGAAAAACCGCTGTCCTGATTGTAGGAAGGTGAAAAGATGATGATTTAAGACAGGAGAGAAGTAGCAGGGCCACCAGAGTGAACAACAAGCACGAGGGCATGAACAGAAACGGCTTGAGATCCTGACCTGAAGAAAGAGTCTGAAATTAGCTTGAAATATTCTCACATTTAATTTTGACATCTGCCTAGGAAGTGCAAACACAGTAGCTTCCTGTTGTTCATGTAGGAATTATGGAGGACTGGAGATTTTCTCATGGGGCCGCTCGGTCACCAGAGCTGCTTGTCTAATTCATGAAGACAAAGAAGGTTGTACAGCTCATTGGTCAGAAAGAGATAAAACCTGGAATTAAACTGATAGACTCTGGTTCCCAGAGGCCTCGTTCATTAATTCACATTAAAAAAGAGAAAACTGCCAAAAAAAAAAAAGATAGTGTTCCTATTTTGAGTAACTGTAGAGAGATTTACGTTTTGATATTCTTGACAAAGATGATGAAATTCACTGTAACCTACTGATTTAAGAGCCGTGATCAGTTTTCCCTAAATTACATGTTTGGCATTTGTCATAAGCACAAAATCAGCACCCGGCATGTTTTTAATGAATGAGGCCCTCGGGTTGAAAACAGGCCTCGTCTGCTCTTTAATTCTCTTCAACATCAAACTGCTCATTGATTGATTCACATAAACTGTTTGCATCCATCATGCGCGCTGCTCTCCGCTCCCAGGATCTCCATAGCTCTCAGGTTCTTTATGTTGGTGTGTGCTTCATGTGTTAATATGTTTGTCCTTCAGACGCCACCTCAGTCTTCCAAACGCCTCTGATGTACAACAGACCTACGCACACACTCACACAGGTAGAGACGTCAGCAGGTGTAAAATGTCAAAGGTTTTATACATGTTACAGACACTCAGCATCGTATCAGTGCAGAGTGAGACAGGAGTGAATGACTGAATAAATGATGGAACACTTGAACAGACGCAGGCGAGAGCCAGAAAATCAGACTGACCACATGTTTATTTAAAAAAAAAAAAGGAGTTAAAATGTCTCTAAGTTGTGAGATTGCATGTTTTGCTTGGAGAGAAATCAGTGAAGGAGCTCGTCTTTTCTGCCCACTGGCTCTGCATCCATACATCAGGTTGCGTTTCATTTCCTATGAACTCACCACTAAGCCATAAACGACAGAAACAAAAGAAGCAACAGTCAAATTAACTGGGAGTTTATTGACGCTTCAGCTGCAGAAGCTAAAGTTACTTCCCAGCCCTGGTCAGGTAGTGTTTAAAATCCTTTCTAGTATCACTCTTGTTTCACTGCTGTGATATGAAAATATTGTTCATTTCAGTTCATATGTTTCTGATCCTTTTAGCTTAAGTCCAACTGAATTTTAATAACATGTTTTATGTCTGCTACACCACACACACCTGCTCTGTGCAGTAAATCACGTTCTGTCAGAAGCCAAAAAGGAGAAATATATCTTTTATATTTTTTGGTTTTATGACAGCAACCCCTGTGTTTTTGTAATCTAAAAAAATGGACGTGTCAGAACTTCCTGCTACTATGCAAAAGTGAGGCCAAAATATTGCGACTGCGAGATGCCGACAGGCCGGTCCAACTGCTGAGACAACATGGAGAATTTCTGATATTTGTGTGTGATTATGAAATATCAGATATAAAACAAACACATTGATATTATTTGTGACTGGAAAAAGGGGACGGCTACATGTGATTCAGTTGGACTTACCGTCTTCTGTGAGCAGATCATTTCCACAGCTGCAGAGCCCAACAATCCCCCTGAACTCATTTTCTATTTCCAGAAAATGTTTGCCAGGGTAAAGTTAATTTTCTCTGTCTGAAAAGTGAAATATTGAGGTTATCAGCCAACAGTGTTTTTACACCAGCTGCTCCTGTTTGCTTGTTTTTTTAGACATGTTTCTCACTTCAGGGCTTTAAACTCTCTGCTGACCTGGTCTGGTTTGTGTTCATCATGAAACATGTCCTGAGACCTTGTAACTTTCTTTAATCTCTCTTTGTTTCCACACACTTTATGCATAAATAAATTAGGTGTGAATGCCAGATCAATGCAATCATTTACATGCATGTTGGACACTACAAACAAAGTTAGGGTTAAAAGAGTGAGAACGAGACAACTTCCAACAGCAGAGGAAACTGAAACGCAGGACACAACATGCAGGCGACTCCTAGTTTGAACCACTTTATCCTGTTGTAAGCAGAAACAACCAGGTGTGTCAACATGTGACAAGCTAAACACTAGAGGTCTACAGGTGCCCTGCCCGTCTGTGTCTGTGCTGTTCTGGTCGCATCAGTCTGTCGGCCGAGATGCATTGACCAATAAAACACATTTTCCTTTATCATAAATCTACTTATAGTCTGTTTTCTTCTCTCACTGGAAATGAATATAGAACTTTGCTTGGATCGGTGTTTCCTCCTGCTCTCACATCAGAGACAATAGAAATCTGATTTGAAACCAGAAATCAAATATTTATTCAGATGTAAACTTATTATACTATACTCTTTAAGCTTTAGCAGAGGGAAACACTGATGTAGGCTTTTCTGATGCTGTTCATTCGTTCAGCCTCTAACATACAGACACCAAACCACTTTGTCATATGCAGTAATATGTGTGTGAGTTACGAGGATTGTAGAGGGTGTGTGTTCAGGAATCGCTGTTAATACTGGTGACGTCTAGGGTAGCGATGACCTGAGACTTTACGCATCTTTTTCTTTGCACTAACGACGTTGGCCTGTTGCGCAGTCGAGGTCTGAAGGTCGGTGGCACTGGGGATCCGTCAGACCCAGAACAGTCACCAGTTCTCAGGTTAGGCAGAAGAAAGTCTGGTCAAGGTGAGTTGTGTATGAGCAGATTTTAACTTGTCATTCACAGTTGGTGACAAGAAGAAATCAGTTACTGAATCAGTCGATTGATCGAGAGATAATTGATGAGCAGCATCTGTGATAACTGAGGTGTTGTTCATGTTCAGGGTTCCAGCTTCTCAAATGTGCAAACTTGATGCTTTCTCAAACAAAAAGTATCCAATTCCATGAAACTGATCTTTTTTAAAGAACAAATGATTAATAGTTTGACTGAATCTATAATGACTACTTGTTAGCTGCAGCCCTGATTTATGTTAGTTTAATGAAACATACTTAAAGAGCAGTTTTAAAAACTCCACTATGACATTCTGCATGGAGCTTTGTTTACATGTTACCAAGAAAAAGCCTCAGCCAGTTCACAACACGCTCATCATTCGGCGGTGAGAACTACTGCTGCTTGTTCCAGCGTCTAGACAAGAACAGTTGATCACGTGCTGCCTGGACTATATGGAGACTGAACAGGGCTCACATGACACTGAACACAACCAACCTAAACCTTATTAGTACAGTTTAATTTTTTTTTGTTCGAGTCGTTCTGGGGACAGTCAGGGCTGATTAATGTAATAACTCATTAATAAGAACTGGGGAATTCAAAACACACCCACTGGCCACTTTATTAGGCACACCTATACAATTATATGCAGGTCAATGCAACATTTCTGACTTAACATCTGTGTTTATGGTGAAATTGTCATAAATGTATCAATTCAATTCTATGTTTATTATGGAGGTCATAGTTAAGGTGGTGTTGTACTGGACTACATGATATTTAGAAGTGTGTATGTTTTAGTCCTCCCCAGCTACATACATGAGAGGGTCAGAATATTAAAAGTGCCCAGTGAGTGTATATATGTATGTATGAGTGCACCAAGTCACTGTCTAAAGTTGTCAGTGTGTTTAAGCGTCCGGTGTATGTGCATCTCAGCATTCTGTAGATGTAGCCAGAGATTCATTCATGAACACAAATCTTGACTAAAGTGCACAACACTACAGACTACTGTTACAAACGCTCTGGTAGGAAGGTGAGCGAGTAAAAAATGACGGACCCAGGTAGCTGACTTCGGTGCAAGAAGTGCTCTATTTATTTACAGTGACGATAAATCTGTGTACAACCAGGTGAAGGAATATGGAGCAGAACTGGGTGTCGAGCGGCAGTCATGGAAAACATAGAGGCAAGGGGGGGCAAACCTGACAACTACAGACCTAGAACTGTTGACTTCTGCTCGAAAACAAAACACTTTTTATCTCCAGTAATGTTTTCTTTCATTTTCTTTGCAGCATCTCTGTTGTCCACGGTTTTACTGTTAGTGAGGCAACACTTTTCATTTTTCATAGGAATTTATTTCTTCCAACTTCTCTGGACTAGTGAGACATATTAATTTGTTCATTTTTTGCAGTTGGCATCTTCTTTTTGTCTTGAGTTTATTTTAGAACTTACAAAAGTCTGGGCTCGTCAGATCATTTGTAGTAATTGTTTTACTGTTTATGGAGCTTTTCCCCACTTAAACCCACTCCTCTTGTGCCTCTAGCTGTACTAGGTTCAGTTCTGTGCTAACGATTTTCCAGCTGAACTTGACACCAGCCAGCCTCAGACAATCCACAAGTGAACACTGAATACTTTTGCTGCTGTAGTTTCCTCCCATGAACCCAAAGGACCGCTGTCTATCTGCCCTCAGTCTGTCTGTCTTTACGTGTGCCAACTGGATAATGTACATATGTATTTGCCCCAGAGTATTTTCAGTAAAAACTAATGAGAAAAGTTTGTCCATGGTTGATGCTGGGAAATCTTCCCCAGTTTTTATCCATGGTTGATGCTGGGAAATCTTCCCCTTGTCTCTGTTGAATTTTTCAAGTCAGTGTTGAAGTGAGATTATTGATTCGTACTAAAAGCCAGGTTGAAAACAATCCATACACACACATCAGGACCATGCCTTTGCATGAATGACATAGTATCTGTTACAGTACTGCTGTGCATGTCTTCAGGTCCCATCCCTCCACTTCAGACTCGCTGTACCACACCAGGGTGACAAACTACCAACATGGACAAAGGTGAATGAATGAACCAATAATGTATAAAATGATAAGAACCACCTGCAAATCTTTGACTCTGTACAGTCATTTCTTTGAATTGATAAATACAGATTGTGATACTGAAAGGTAATATTTGTGTGTCTTTTTGTGAAGCTAGGGTCTTATGTGTGCTCCAGGGAGGACCAGTGGTGGCACATTGAAAGTGAAAGGACTATTTATTTAAAGTGTACAACCTGATATAGTATCTCAGTAGACTTTAAAGGCCTATATCAACAACCTAGTTCAGGACAGGGAAAAACACATTTTTACTGCTGGTCACGTTGCAGTTGTATAATTCTGTATGTAGGCATAAGAAGAAAATTCTTCTTTGACTGAGGAATGAGTCCCTGTATGTACTTTACAAAGGCTATAATAAAGTTAATTCTAGTAAACTATTAACATATTTCTTTAAAACTAAGAAAAAACATTTGAGTATCTAATGCACAGGTTTGTTATTCTATCTGTAATGACACTGTAAGTAGAACTAATCTGACTTGTACGTTTTAGACCCCTCAGAGCACATTATAGAAAAACTGGAAAAGCAACTTTAAGCAGCAGATTGGGCCAAAAATAATTATCAACTGAAATTACTTTTCAAATCAGCATGCTTTTATGTCTCAGAACATTTTTGAAGATGGTCTTTACCTTGAAACACAGTATGTGGACAAAAATAAATGTGAATGGTGCTAATTACCATGGCTGGGCTTACTTGTTAAGGGGCCCCTTGCAAAAATGAGTTGTGGGCCCCCACTGACTAGGACTATGCTGCACATAAGAACTGTGTTAACTAAAAACATGAAGGTCTTCAAACTGGGCTGCCCCTTCACAAGGGAGGACCACATAATTAGCTAATAATGCAGGGCCCATCACAGATGACATTGTACTTTGCTGCAGGTAACTTCATACATTGTCACTAACTGAAGTGCCAAAACCGAAAACCCCTCAGGTTCTGGGGGCCTTGGGCACATGCCCACTTTACCCGGTTGGTAATCTGGCCTTGATTTCAGCCCCACAAAAATTGAAAATCTGTGTTTTCACAGAAAAAATGAACTAGTGGGCCAGCAGAAGAGGAAAGTAACTAAGTATATTTACTCAAGTACTGTACTTAAGTGCAATTTTGAAGTAGCCTGTACTTTACTTGAGTATTTCCTGCTATTTCATACTTGGACTTCACTACATTTCAGAGGCAAATATTGTACTTTTTACTGCACTACATTTATTTGATTCTTTTCAGAATCAGATGAATAAAACAAAGTACAGTATAATCATAACATTTTGCTGATCCCTGGTGGGAAATTCACAAGCCAACCAGAAGCATGTACAGCACTTTATATGTAAATATGCGCAAATGCGTACTTGCTAGTTTCTAGAATACATTTCAAAATCACCATTTTTAATCCTTGTATTGTGAAAAATAGACGTGACGCCGGAAACGGATGTGCAGCACGGAATCGTTTCGGAGGAGCACAAGTCCCCATAGCAGGTGAAAGTAGATGTTACTATAACACGGAAGAAAGACTGATGCGTTTAAAATCTAACTGACTATTATTTAAGTGGCGGTTTCGTGTTAAAAATGCGTTTGCGAGCTGGCGGACACTGCGGGCTGAGCTTTTAGTTTGACTGAAAAAATGGAGGAGAGGTTCGGCAACGAAGTGGCGTCGATCGTGGAAGTCGCCATCCAGGCGGCCGTGTCCGTGTTCAAGGATGTCTGGGCGAAAGAGGCGCCACACACGGAGTGGGAAGAGGCGAAGTTCGGCCAAATCCAAGAGATAGAGAAGTGTCTGGTGATTCAGATCCACAAAGTGTTCACAGAGTTCTCCTCGGAGCTGCTCGAGGAGAACGAGGCTCTGCGGGCTAAAGTGGAGCAGCTGGAGGATGTTCTGCAGAGGAAAGCCGGGCAGCTGGAGCAGGAGCTGGAGGCCAGAGTGGGGCAGCTGGGCAGAGACATGGAGCAGCTGGAGAAGGAGCTGAAAAGCATCAATGAAGGCAGCAGCAAGACACAGGGAAGCCCGACCCACCTCCTGCTGCACGATGGCTCACTGACAGGTGAGGCCAAGCACCACTGACACCTGACGGAGTTCAGAAATGTGAAGATCTGGAGCTCTAATAAAGTGATTTACCTTTAAACTCATGTGAGAGGGTGCTTTCAATAAAGACAACAGAGGCCTACAATTCATTCAGAACTAAGTTAAGTGATCAACTCTATAAATGGGCCGGTGTTTAAGTCAGTTGAAAAGCATAAATGAGAACCAATCAGCAGTTCCAGGGGCCAGAACCACAAAGAGAGACTAGTGGCTTGTCCAGCTGAATCTGGGCTCAGCTGGGGTTTCTGGTATGACAAAGCTGGCTCACTTTTAATCAGGCTAGATCACCACAGTGACTTCTGCTGCAGCCCAAGCTGCTCCGGAGCAGGTGAACCCCAGAGGTTTAAATCGTGTCAACAACCCGAGCACTGACCGATCAGGTCACTGGAGCCACTGAGGGATTGTTTTCAACAGGATCCTGACACTGACAGAAGAGTTTGCATTAATGTGATCAGTAAAGAGGAACAGACATTTATCTACCCAGAGCCGTCAAATGGCTTCGCTGGTTTTAGAGCAGCAAACTGGGGAAGTCAACAGCTTCACAATGATCAACAATGTGTTTTAAATGCACAAAGATTTTTTTGATTCCTCACTGAATTCCCGACTGTGCTGATGTTTTTACAGGTTTCTATCGCTGCAGCTCAGAATAACATGAGGACACTCAGTGATGATAATTGTTTTTAAGATACAGTAAGAAGAGCGGCTGTCTTTGCTGTGTGAACCAGGGCTGCTTGTGATTTACTGCTCTGATGGAAAACATTAGGTCATGAAATGAGTTTGCTGTGACATTGTCTCTTTTCTGTGAAACACCACAGGAGCTCCGGTGCTGTCAGTCCCCCCCAGTCAAGCTGCCCCTCTGACTGCTGTGAAGGAGTCTAACTCAAACCCTCCACCGGTTTCAGCAGCGAGCACTGACGTTGTTCCCAGTTCTACAGTTGAATCCGTGACTGTCCCTAAGCCTGCAGTAGCGCCAATGGTGTTTGTCAGCAGAGTCAGTTCTGCTCCCACGGTGTTGTTGGTGGGTGCCAGCCAGGTTGTCACCCAACGCCCCCCACCATCAACGGGTGTTTCTGAAATTGTGGGAACAACACAGCTCGTTCTCAAACCAGCAGCCTCACCGGGGTCCACACCTCAAGACGTCCCCAGTCCAGACTCCGTCAGCGGTGTCGACTCGGCACAGGAAAAGGTTAGCTATTTCTCTGCTGTTTCTGGCTCAACTCCATAGATTTCTATTTGTCTGAGAGCAAAAAAGTGCTTTAAACCTTTTTTCTGGTACTGTTACTTTTTATGGGCAATAGGTGTGATGGTGCTGGTCGGACATGTCAGAATGTCTGTATACTCACTGACTGCAGTCAGAGATTCAGCAGCATCTCAGTGGTGGTCATCTCTCACCCTGGTGCAGCATGTATGCAAAATAGTTCTCATGTTTCTAGAGACGGTGAAAACTCTCAGAGTTGGGGTGATGATTTGCATCATTAAATGCATCCACATTTATAAATTAAGTTCAGATTTTTTCCTTGTGCATCACAGAAATCTGCAGAAGAGGCACCTACAAGGAGATCGCAGAGGGCCAGGAGACTGTCTCGTAAGCTTTGGGGTATGACTGGATTTTAGATTGTTGCTTCATACAGGATGTGAACATTACATTTCAGTTTGTGAAGCAGGTGGAAGAGGTCAAGGATACCTGCTTCTTGGAAAAAAAAAAAGCTAATGTAATAGACTAATTTTGTACATTTCCTCCTTCGTTTCCAGTTGTCATTGACAACGACATTGAACAGAAAGTGATCATGAGAGGTGAAAGACAGAAAATAAAAGAGCCACAGACAGAGAAGCGGTTCTCCTGTGAGCACTGTGGCGCCGGTTTTCATTGGAAAGGTGAATTGAACAAGCACATGAAGGTCCACAAGAAGCCGTTTCCTTGTGAAAAGTGTGGCAGAAGTTTCCTGATGAAGTCGTCTCTGGAGAATCACCTCACGCGTCATGAGGCCAGTAAAGCCCCCCTGCCCTTCCCCTGTCCTCACTGTAAAAGGTCGTACAGAAAAGAGCAGTCGCTCCAGAATCACCTCAAGCTCCACCAGCGTTTGAGGCCACCGAAGCCATTCGCCTGCGATCAGTGTGGAAAAACATTCAGGATTCAGCAGTCGCTGGAAAACCACCTGTTGCGTCACGAGAAGTGGAAGCAAAGGTTGAAGTGTCAGCTCTGTGACAAGACATGCAAGACGTCGGTCCAGCTGAAATGTCACATGACCGTCCACTCGGAGGAAAGGCCGTTCAGCTGTGAAACCTGTGGGAAGGTTTTTAAGAGTAAAGACACTCTTCGCTTCCACCAGATTGTCCACACAAACACCAAAAAGTACAAATGCACAATGTGCGAGGAGACCTTCAAGTACGCCCATTCGCTGACGGTGCATAAGAGGAAACACACAGGCGACTCCCCCTTCGTGTGCACTGTGTGCAACAGGTCGTACCGGACCGGCACTGCTCTGAAAAGACACAGTGTGATCCACACGGGAGAGAAACCCTTCACCTGCCACATCTGTGGAGCGAGATTCAGCCTCAACAACAACCTCAAGAGGCACCTTCGCATTCACACAGGGGAGAAGCCCTTCACCTGTCAGGAGTGCAGCAAGAGCTTCTCAGACAACAACAAGCTCAAGTCCCACATGCTCATCCACGGAGCCAGAAAGCCTTTTATGTGCGACCTGTGTGGGAAGACCTTCCTCTTCAACTGCAGGCTGCTGATACATCAGAAGTACGTGCACGCCAACAGGAATGAGGAGACTGACTGCACACAAGGGTTTTTACAGGCCAGACAGCGAAACAAGTCACTGGTTAAACCATTCAGCTGCAAAATATGTCTGAGAGGTTTCAGCGCCGCTTGTTCACTCAAGCTTCATGAAAGAGGCCACAGTGAGCAAAAGGAGTATAACTGTGGAATCTGTGGGAAGGCTTTCCATAACAAGTACTCTTTTGGCTACCACCAGAGAAGCCACTCGGGAGAGAAGCCCTTTGTTTGTGATGTGTGCGGTAAGAGGTTTTTCCACACAGCTAGTCTGAAGCAGCACGAGCGCATACACACAGGTGAAAAACCGTACAAGTGCGACCAGTGCGGCAAGGCCTTCAGGACAGACGGAAACTTCTACAGACACTTGCGGATCCACACCGGCGAGAAACCCTTTGAATGTATGTACTGTCAAAAGAAGTTCCACCAGTCCAACCAGCTCAAGTCCCATCTGCAGGTCCACACCGGGCAGAAGCTCTACTCGTGCCAGCAGTGTGGCCGTGGCTTCTCTGATTCAAGGCAGCTGAAGAAGCACAGCTGCAACGGGTCATAGGTGATGTGAGGCTGTTGTGTGTTCTCCACTGGCATGTTCAGATGATGAACCACTGGAATGTGGAGTCACGTATGGAGTGGAGGGAGGTTATATTAAGAATAAAGAAAAGAACTGTGACAAATGACAGACTAAAATCACAGTTTCATCTTCATGATTAGTTGTTGGCAATGACAGACAGTTTATTAACAGAGAATTAATCTACTCAAGGTGTGCAAATATGTTTAGTTGTTGCATTTATTAAGTAAAAATATAAAACAATGGGTTGTGGTAGCTTCATAGTACAAACTTTTGTTTTTGTTGTTAACACTTCATGGCTCTGGCATCATACTTGTCATTACTCTTCATGTATCAGGGCTGACGGATTCATCAAAAGCACTTATTATACAATATTTGAGAGTAAATGTTGTTGCAGCTTTCATCCAGTGTTCACAGATGTTGGCTGCGTTGTTTGTGGATGTCCTGGTTTTAATTTTCAATTGTGATTCAATCACCTCAGCTGTTAAAAGCATTGGAAGAACAGGTTGTTTAGCTTATAGGACATTGTGGCCACTTAAAAAAATCAATAAATCTCAAAAGATATACTAAGGTAAGATAACCTCTGTAAGGCTACATTCATGTTACAGGCCTCAATCTTCAATTCTGATCTTATCATCTGTGAGGGACAGATGGCATCAGGCCGTATGTGCAGAAGGAGGAGAGTTTAAAACAACCACATGGATTCTGATCTAACAGCGCTGCACAGTCAGAGGTCGAATAGGAATTGGACCTAGGAGCACATACTGTATATGCAGATGGCCCAGATCTGATCTGAGAACATCTGGTTTGGTCTGTACACACTTCTTGGTCTGAGGCACTGGGAGGGAGAAAGGTTGGGTTTGCATTGCTTCAGCTGTGATATGAATGTAACTTAAATGCTAATTGATAAGTGTAGTATAAATACCAGCTTTGTGGAGTCAGTGTTTTAAGAGGGAGTTTTTTCAGCAACTGAAATGTTTTCTCTTTTATCAGCTGAGTTGATATTAAACTGAAAATTAAGGTTATTTTTGGTTGTCAATTTTGTATTTTAAAACAAAGTTGCTTGAGTTTACAATTATCTGATTGAATAAGCTTAAGATACCGTATTTTCAACGTTAAAGAACTTTCTAATGTGCAGTTTTATGGAAAATGGCAAAGTACTTATTTCTCATAATTGCAATTAAGGAAAGCTTGTAATCGAAGCGACTTTAAATCATTTTATTTTGAAATGCAGTTGTTCCTCCTCAGTGGGATATTTACTTCCGGAGTCGGTGTCGCCGACTGTTTTCATGTGCTGTTGCTAAAATCAGCTGCTAACTTTGCGGGTAAAATGTCAGAAAACTCTGTGTTTTATTCAGAAACAAAGTCCATCATGGAGACAGCCATAAAGACCGCTGTTGTTATCGGACATTCAGAAGAAGCAAGTTCCGTAAAGCAGCGAAGTATGAGACGTAAGGTGAGTCGGTGGCTATTAATGATTCATGGGTCAGAAATCATGTAGCCGGCGGAGATTGGACCGACAGAACAAAATGAAGTCGGGGGACAGCGTAACGCTAAGCGCAGCAAAGATGGCGGTATGTCCTCCTGTAGCTAGCTAGCTAACACTGTCAGCATAAAGTTTAGACGCGAAAACTGTTCTGCTTGACACGTGTATAAACACTGAGACAAGCTCGTATTTCTTAATTCTATTTGTTATATTTGTGTTTTGTATTAATGGTGTCTGGTATGGAGTGACATTAGTTGGTCAGTCGAAGGGCAGCTGTTATTTCTGAAGCATAGTTTGAACTATTGACATTTTATTTCTAAAAAAAGATTAACAAAGTGATTGTCAGAGTATTTGATACTGAAAATAAGTGTTAGTTGCAGCTGTAGCCACAAAGACAATCACATATTGTGCTAATATAACGTAAGAGCTATTGATAATATATTTAATGTTATGTTAATATACTGTATATATATCGCAAAAGATTCAAACTGCGAGTCCCTCAACCTTCCAGGGTCATGGCCAGTGGACTGATTTTAAATAATGATCTTTATTAAAAAGGGTTTTTTTTCCCCCACTCCTACAGGTTTATTCATTTAATTTGACTTGTTCATAAACATCAGCCTGATTACCGAGCACCTCTAAAGAGCCTCGTCCTCCTGGTCAACTTAAATTCTAGGAATTATAATAGAGTGTAATTAAAAATGTCATAGCTTGAGACCTGACGGTTATACCAGGGGCAATGTATTACTGATTAATTATCAGGTGATGGGAATGGAATGATCACTGGATAATGTGCTTGCTTTGTGTTATGCAGTAATTATAGCACCCATTTGTTTATATGACATTTTAATTGAATTTCGACAGATTGTGCATGAACAGTTCCAGTTACTAACAACAGATACGCATGTCCATCATATGTGCATCTTTATATCAGCATCAAATAGTTTGATCTCATTGATATTTTAGAGCAAATGGTGGTGACAGCTTTGTTTTAATCCTCGCAGCCAAATCTGGACAGCACTGTGGAAATGTTGGCAAGAGAGGCAACGAGAAAGATCAGTGCCATTTTCTCCCAACTGTCCTCACTGCTGCACAACGAAAACCAGACTCTCAAGGCCAGAGTGGGACAGCTGGAGAGCGAGCTGAAGGCTGTGACTGAAAACTTTGAAAATGCCAGCATGTGGAGAGAAAACGTCCTGAACGGCTGCCCGGTCCTGTTCGAGCAGACCGGGCTGATTTTCACCTTGAAGCCGTTTGGGAAGTTAAAAAGAAAGACAGATAAAACGGAGCACGTCACAGAATCAGCGCCTGCTGCTGGTCTGCAGGGTGGTCAGGAGGCTGGTGAGTGTCCATTAAAGGTGAACTCCAGGCAAATTGTAGTCTGTTCTCTGAAACCATAATCTTATTGGTGCTTGTGATATTATGACTTCACGGCACCAGGAAATATTATTGCCATAATTTTTGAAGAAAAGTTTAACCCAGACAACGTGAACAGAATGTTTACGGTTTTTCAGTCTCTTCTTTACTGTTAATCTATTGTTCAGATGGTGGCGAAGGACAGAAAGAGGTGACCTCACCAGTCACTGGACATGGTAAGAGTTTAAATAGTAGATGTGCAAGTAATTTGTGATGTGTGGGACTTTAACTCTGGTGATTTCTTAGGGGAGGTTATTATTCCAACTGGTCAGTGAGTTTGTAGAGTGGCCTTAGAAAAGTAACACTTGAATATGATTTCAGCTTATTCAAGAAATGATTTATGTGGTAGCCTTTATCTTTTCCACTTCTGCAGACGATTGCACCACGACGGACGTGGCAGAATCCATAAACACCTCCAACCGAAACAAACAGGAAACAGAAGTCGTGAAGAAAGGGAATGTGTTTGCATGCGACAAGTGTAACAAGAGTTTCAACCGACAGTTTCATCTGATGAAACACATGAACACTCACAGAGAACAGAGGCCTTACAGCTGCGACCAGTGCCCGAGAAAATTCAGGAACACGGTGACTTTTGAGTACCACCTTCTGCGACATGAGGAGAAGAAGTATGTTACCTTCAAATGCCAGCTCTGTGAGAAGACATTCAAAACAAAAATGCACCTGAAGACTCATCAGCTTGTGCACACAGATACAAGGCCGTTTGTCTGCGCCACCTGTGGGAAGGCCTTCAAAACAAAACACAACCTGCAGGCTCATCAGCTCGTGCACACTGTTGAAAAGCCGCACAAATGCTCCGAGTGTGGCGAGAGCTTCAGGTACGCCTTCACCCTGCAGTGCCATAGGAGCATTCATACAGGGGAACATCCATATAAATGCACAGTGTGTGGCAAAGCTTTTATAAAGAGGAGATCGCTGAGGACGCACCAGGCGGTCCACAGAGAAAAAATGTTTACGTGTGAGACATGTGGCGCGGGCTTCACCCTTCAACACAACCTGAAAAGACACATTCGTATTCACACAGGTGAAAAACCGTTCAAATGTAGCGTCTGCGGGAAGAGTTTCATCCAGGACAACAAGCTGAAAGCCCACATGCTTCTTCACGGTGCATCCAAGTCGTTCATGTGTGACCTGTGTGGGAAGACTTTTCTGTACAACTGCCAGCTGCAGAAACACCAGAGAGCCTCTCACGATGAAAGACACAGGCAGGCGATCAGAAGACAGACTCTGGAGCGAGGTAGCCGCAGAGTTATCTGTCGACGGGACAGAACGACAGTGGATGTGACGCCTTTCAGCTGCAAGACCTGCCGCAAGGGCTTCGACTCTGCAAGTTCACTGAGAAGACACGAAATCATCCACACAGGCCAGATGCAGTACAACTGTGACACATGTGGGAAGTCTTTTTTCTACAAAGCTACATACGACTACCACCAGAGGGGCCACTCGGGAGAACGGCCCTTCGGTTGTGATGTATGTGGGAAGAGGTTCATCATCCTTCAGGCTCTAAAGTCCCACAAACTGCAGCATTCTGGAGAGAAACCACATAAATGTGAGCAGTGCAGTAAGGCCTTCAGGATCTATACAAACTACCTCAGACACTTACGGATCCACACTGGGGAGAAGCCCTACGAGTGTGAGGTTTGCGGAACGAGGTTCAGGCAGCTCGGACATGTCAAGTTTCACATGCAGGTCCACACGGGAGAAAGACCGTACTCCTGCAGCAGCTGTGGACTTGGATTCTCAGACTCGAGACTACTCAAGAGACACAACTGTACAAAGAAATACCAGAAAGCAGGGAACAGTCTCGCTACACCCTGAAACTAAGGGCAGAGCCCAACCCCCTTATTTGATATTATCTTCAGTGTGAGGTGGGATTGTACAGTGTAGTAGACGAAGTAGAAGAAACTGCAAACTACAGGGATCATTCATGTTTCAGATCTCTTCTTATTTATCACACTCCTTTCTAGACTCTCAGCAGCAGCTGGAGCTGTGTGAAACCTTGAATTATGTTGTTCACAGTATGAAATCTCAGCATAGTTCAGCCTCTTTCCTCAACATACACTAATTACTGTGCACAGCTGTCTCAACACTGCAGAACCTGATTTTTGTCAAGTCTGTTAGGTCTTTGCTTATGCCCAGGATATAATAAAGGTAGAAACTCATCATACTCTGGATTGGTGCATTTCACTTTGTGTCCTCAACTCAAATATACTTGTACAAAATAGAAACAACATTTCTGCATTTAAATAAAAGTTGCTTTATAGTATGTTACTCTATTTTCAGTTATAATATGAATAATATGCTATGATAAGTGCAGTAAAATATTGTCTGAATCAAACGAATATTCTCTCATAGATGGTGTATTTATCTGTGCACAGCTCCCTGTCTGTGCAGCCCTGGCTGGCCCTGGTGCAAATGACCCTAAAGGGGAAGAAATGGACATTTTTACTTAAAAACAGTATTTAACTAAATATACTTAGCATCCACCTGTAACTAAGAAGAGAAAGACCGAGGAGGAGATGCTAAAGGAATTTTCTGATGCATTAACCTCAAAAACCAAACTATAGGTTAGCTGCTCCCCTACAGCTGGATCCTGCCTCCAGAACCAGTTTCCTGTCAAAGGGTTCCTGTGAAGGCCACATCCTCCAGGTGTCCAGTCCCATCACTACCTCATGAGGTAAAATTGGGCCTGAGTTTGTCATAAAACCTGGTAACGGCACTGACAAGGTTACTTTTATCAGATTCCTGAAAGTCAATGTGCCTACTTTGCTAAAGTCTAAAGTACAACTTGGCAAATATCTAAAGCAACCGACCACTTTTCTACGCACACAAGGGTCACAGAGCTGGTGTGGTGGAGGTGGAGTGTGGTGTCTGTGTCCAACAGGATCCTAATCCTCCAGTACACAGAGCCCTGAGCTCCAGAATCCAAACCAAAAAAGGAACAGGACACCAAAAGTCTGAACCAGGGGCCAAAAATCAATAGTCAAATGGATACAACTATCCATCTAGGACATGGGTAAATGTAATGATTAGTTTTAAAGTCTGTGTGGACTCACAGATGTGAGGTGCTGGGGAAAGTCTCATTGCACTGTGGACACTGCCTGGACTTACTGTGGGCCGGTAGGCTGTGGTGCAGCACTTACAGTAGCTGTGACGGTAAATCATTCAGATTGAAGAGTGCTCAGAGGGAAATTTCGTCTGGTGCCATATGTGGAGAAATGAGAGAAGAGGGTAGAAGGATAACATCAGTAAGACAAGCTGGACAGGTGCCTCTTAATGCCAGTCACGTGACTCTTAAAAACTCAATGGCCCTTTGATCTACACGTGACCATGGATTCTGGAGAAATGAAAACATGTCATTTGATGGCTTTGAAGAGCTTCCAGCAGTTCTTGGTGCAAAATGGTCATGCACTATTACTTTTTGTGCAGAAGAAAAAAAAACAAAGCTATTTTTGTTTTGGAGATTCAGGACTGGGGATATTTAGGATATTTAGACTTTTCATAAAGAGAAAGAAATATTGTGATGCTGATTTCTTAACAGAAAAACACGTCGTGATAGGCGGTTTGATGTTGTGACGAGCTGTATGTTGATCTTTATGACGCCAGTATAGAGCTCTGGCATAACCTGAATGAAATGAGAGAGCGATGTGGTAGAGAGAGGTAGGCGGACAGCGGTGGAGAGAGAGAGAGAGAGAGAGAGAGAGAGAGGTATAGAAAGGAGAGAGGGAGCGGAGCATCAGTGCTGCGACCAGAGAGGAGAGAGGCTCGTCAGCGAACACCCAGCGGCTTGTTTTCAGGTAAAACCACCACAGGAGCTCACGTTTTACTCGCACATGTGTCTTCTTTATGATATGTGATGTAGTGGCTGTCCCCAGTCTGTGCGTCGTGTTGTTTCTAGAAGATGAAGATGAAGATGCTGAGCAGCAGAAATGGAGAGATGCGCTGTTCAAAACAAAGCCTCAGAAATAACGCTGCTTGTCATCAGCTGATGTACTGACGCCCACTTTAAGCCTTTTTTTCAGTCGTACAGCTTCTGTTTTTAATTTCCACATGAACCTAAGATTTGTGCTTCGTGTCTTTATGCATGTGCGTGTGTTATAATTGTCAGTGGGGCGTTTTTCCGACGGTCCGTTACTACGCACATTGGCACAAAGCACAAATAGAGACTCTCGTGGTTTGTATCTAGTATTTTTTTATATATTGGGACGTTTCTATGTTTGGAAGGTGAAGCTGGCTCCGTGCAGGACGCGCTGTCTGAACCAGATGCTCATTTTGCGGTATTTTTAGTCTCTGGTTTGGTTTGTTGTAAAATGGAGGCTGGGTGGTGAAGGAGGAGGAGGAGGAGGATGCTGCCATGGCCTCCTGCTCACACATCACATGGTATTCGGTATTTCTACACCTACACCTTCAAATAAACCAAAATGAACTGAGAAAGCCACTAAGATTCTGTGACAGGTGTTTTTAAAAGGAGCTTGCTGTTGGTTTCTGGTGGGATTGATGCTTCTCCGTCTGTCAGAGCTCATTAGAAACTCACACGTATATTTATTACAACATTATGATTAACAGCCTGCTATATTCCCTTTTACTGCTGCACAGTGTCTGTGATTCTCACGCACAAATGTCATATATACCATCATAGAAACCTTTATTTTCCCTTTGTTAAGGGGGAAATTGTAGCCTGATAGACATTTGGTTGAAATGTGTATTAATTTAATAGACCTGTAAGATTGATGCCCTGTTATTGAAATAGCCTGTTCAATATTATGATAGTCCCTGTGTGAATGCTCTCATTGTGTCTTTTCGTCCCTGTCCTAGTTTGGTCACTTCTACCTAACCTCATTTTGCATTCTGCCAGACTTGTGCTCAGTCTTAAATCTCGTTATTTATGATTTGGTTTCATATTCTGCCATTTTCACCCAGGCCTTCTGCAGTCTATGCAACAGGATGACGCATGGCAGCTGTCATTAAACTACCTGCTCAGTCTTTGTAAAAGTGACGAGGTGTTCAGATTTTACAGTAGAAGCTTGTTTTTGTGAGAAAATGGACAGAAATCCTCAGGAGCATGCTTCATCTTTTCAGAGATGCTGACCAAAAGAAAACAGGCAAACTGATACTGATGAGTCCTTTAAAATGACTTGAAACTGATACAGGTGATCTGAGTCCAGACAGAGACCACGTGTCTCATCCCCTTGTCCTCATTTGCTTCCCATAATTCTCACTGTCTAGCAGCAGGAAAAGTAGGCTTGAGAACACGGAAGACAATAAAGTTGGA